AAGAGTCAAATATAAGTAATCATGGAACTGTTCTTTGTTACTTCACTACCTGACTGGAAAGAGACCCTTCTGCATCAAGCGCTAAAAAAAGAAAACGCACAGTTACTGGAAAGGGTTTTGGGTAATAATATGGTTGGAAATTAGGTAAGAAAAGTGGGCCTGGCACTCGAAGTTGAGGCTGATAGGTGAACTATGGTGAATCGGCGAATAATTGACAAATTCGCACGGTCTTTTTTCTAATGAAGTTCGTAGAAGGGTATTGTCGATCAGCTGAAAATGCTCTATGATACGAAATGGTCTAAAGGAATGGAAGGCGGAAATGACGGACCAATAGAAAGTTTCTACTGTTTTATTTTTCAGAATGTGTTAACACTGACGACTTTGCGCGATCAGGAAGCTCCCACAATAAATTGCAGTACAGTTGTTTTCATATTTGATGTATGCTGGCTCTCGCCTCCACTGACTAATCCCAATAAACTGACTTGCATTTTTGCAGTAGGTGGGAATGACAGAAACTACACGTATTCAAAGTTGCTTCGAGAGAATTTGGTTGCGGTTGCCATAAAGTTTGCGTATAAGATGCCAGATCAAGAGATAGCGCCCGGCGATTCGAGTCTTAATCGAATCTATTGCGTTAGATTCTTGAGGGAGACCATCTACATTCACAGTGTCCGTTACAGTGGTCGTAAAGTAAACTTCATGCGAGCTATTGAAAGTGTTGAGAAAGCCGTTTAGTTGTTGCTGAATGAAAGCAAATAGTATTTGGGACTTAATTATGCATAGTGTCGAAAAAAATGTTTTTGGGGAAGGTCATCAAGCGGTCTGCATCATAGACAAGGTACTTCCAGTCAAATTTCCTTTCGCCAGCCCAAACATGGGTTCCTTAAAAGCACTGTTTTCGGACGGTTTCTCTCAAAGTTAGGGACCTCTGCTTTAGAGTGAGGAATTCAGTTCGCAAAGAATGGTGGGAAGGCTGCTAAGACAGTGGGAGCCTCTTCTGTAGGAGCTGCAGTGGGAGCGAGTGCTTTTTCGCGATTGTTGACACCTTCAGCAAAAGGTTCACAATCAGAAGTATCGTTAAACAGAAAGGTTCCGATACCGCTAAGGAGCTGGAGGTGACATTTGCAGTGGCGTCGTCCAACCACAAAAAAGTTTTTTAGAATAATTATTATCCGCACTGTTCCCCGAAGTTAATGATTGAAACCGAGAGGTTCTGTTTAATCGGGCACTGTTGTAAATTTGAACTTTTTCTCTTGAATGACTAGATCGAATGACCACGTCACTCACGAAAAAAAGTCGTTGTATGAAATACTTTACAGAAATGGAAGGAACGCAATCAAATTACTTGGGATAACCTATGATAGAACAATATCTAACACTCCTTGTGTTAGATATTGCGAAGGATCGTTCTCATATACGACTCCTTGTGTAGCTGATACTTTCTTTCTTTCGTATTCTGATAACTTTACACAACTTACTACCTTACGGTCTAGCTCTCCTCTGAAGGAAATCCCGGTCACCATCTTATAAAGGTAACACTTCCTGAGCTATCAATCTTTAACCATCGTCATCATTTTTCTCTTGAATAGCGAATCTTGTTAAGCTACGTAAAACAGATCCCGCATACTAAGAATGTACCTTCGGGATGTTGACTATTTTCAAAATGACTTTCTACCTTAAGTTCTTACATTTCCTGTTTGATTCTGGTAAAATAAAATAGGCCTGGCAATGTAAAAGTTATGGTAAATTTATTGACAAGAAAGAGCCACATGTTTCTGGAACAAGTAACCTGATTACAAATTCAGGTGCAGGTTGTTTACACCTTTAGTCATCTAAAAGAAAGGTGTTGGACGATCTAAATTAAAGATTAAGAATTATTTTTCTGATCAGTTCCTGATTCCGCGTGGAATAAACAGAAAACGAGACTAAAAAATGTAATTTCCCTTTATTTTCTAACGCCATAATAAGAAAGCTCTCAACGGTTTCTAGATAATTCATTGGTTAATTCTATCGTTTAACACCTGTATATTTTATAATTTTTAAACAATTTGTGTGCTAGATAATCCTTTTCACAGCCGCAACGGATTCCAATAGACTCCTTCGTTTTATATTTATTATTTCGCACCTAAACAGAGATCACGTTATGGCTCGCGGCGAAAAATAGCGGGACTCTCTCTCCTCCTCTGGAAAGAGATCTTCGGAATTCTCGGCAAGGGGTGCGCTGCCTAATTTGCCAAATCCTTGTCCTTTCCTCGGTCATTCCCACGCCGCTCCGGGCTAAAATATTCTCTGATAGGAAATTTCAAAAGTATGGGAAAGAATCAGGCGGTGTGCGCACTCTAATTGCATCGCATTGTAGCGTTCGTTATTTTCAATATGGCGGAGAAAGCGGCAGAAATCGGCAGATTTTGACAAAAGATTTCGTACCCTCAAAGTTTAGCTCTTATGAGGCTATCTCTTGATGACTTTCCTTTGCGATGTGATAATAAGAGTCAGTTTTGAGGTGTCATGTCCCCATCTGTATGTTCTCGAGATTTGGCAAAGCCGTTTGAGATTGTGTTACAAAAGGTAATATTTTCTTCTATGCGCGCGCTATTTTCTTTGATTTGAAGTATACTTTCTCTCCTGCAGAAATAACTCCAGAGATACGTTTCTCAAAACCCTCATCCAGGTTTCCTCTATCCTCGAACGGTATTTTGAAACTCTGTACGTTTTTGCTAAACGTGGAGCGAGACAAATTTGTTCTTAGGAGGCGTGGGGCTTCTCCTTTTACAAATCCCGTATTTACGCTTGGTAGAAAAAGTTCGTGTATTACAAGGTCTCTGTCTCTTTAATATGCGTTTGCATGTTAAGGGTCGATTCCCTATTAAACAACTTGCCTCTAAGATTATAATTTCTTACTTTGAAATTATTCATCCCGCCATCGGTTGTGAGTGTAACTGTTGCCATTTGTGTCGAGATTCTTAGGCAGATTGCAGTTTCGAATCTTTCTTAATAACGTCAGTTGTCTCCTAAGAACAAATTCGTCACGGAGGAATGACGGGAGTCTAGTCGCGCAGGCCCGTCAAACTTTTTAACTTTCGAAGAAAAGGAAGAGACAGTGAATCCCCTTTACAATCGACGCTATCTCGCTGCCACCAGTGAAGTTCACTCCAACGCGTCAAGATGCAAATGACTCAATTTTTGTTTTACGACCATGATGCAACGCAATCAGAGTGCGCACAACGCTTGGGCTGGGAAGGAAGAGCCCATTTACGAATTACCCTTGGTCTCTTTTTCAAAACGAGGCCCGGTGCTCAACCATTCTTATGAAAGGATGAGCACCAGGACTCGTTTTGAAAATGAGGCCAAGGATAATTTGGAAATGGGCTATTATCATGAAAAAAAAAAAAAACGCATCTATGAGCTCACATTCAGCCTCGACATGATGCACTCGGCCCAGCACAAGGCACTAAAATGACGTAAAGAACAGATCACGCAGGTCTAAGTTGTAAAAGCCGTAATCGCGTTACGACGACACCGCGGAAATTTTGTTGGTCAGCGAACATCTCAACGAAACCATAAAATGCCGCTAACTTTTACAATCTTTTCGCCGTGAATCAAATCGACAGTGTAAATAGGCAAAACTTAGAAAGAATACTGTAAACTTAACTTTGAAACTCTGTTCACCTTTTGGATAGTTCTAAAGCTCAATTATATAATTTGCCAAAGCCGAACTGAAGTTGCACAAGATATGAAATTGTTGTTTTTTCACTGGCGGCTCCGTGGCGACTAAGTTTTGTTTAAAGAAGAGCATAAGCACTAAGGCTAAAAATGAGACGGTTTTTTAATGGCTGAAGCGGTGATCCGAGGACGCTGCACCATCAGGTTTGTAAAGCAGTGGCTTGAACCGTAAAAATCGGCATGTCAACGGCATTCCGGTCAGATTCACCGAGAAGACATAACATGCCCGTGTAACACGGACACCCTATCCCCACTCGTTATTGTATGTATCATAGGTTGCCAAAAACCCATGACTGTAACATGTATAGGACTGAAGCCCCCAAAAATACAAAAATTGGCTCAACCAGAGGAAGAATAAACCGTGGTATGTTTAAGTACAAAATGTCCATTGTAATGGTAATAAATTAAGTTTTCACTTTCCACCTTAGTTTGTAATTTTTTTTTCTAAGCTGT